AGGATGACAGGCAAGCCTGGGCCTGGGAGGCCGAGGGGCAAGGATAGCCCAGAGGCAAAGGCCCTGGGCCTGGGAGAGGCAGAGGCAAGGGATGGCAGGCAAGCCCACTGGGCCTGGGAGACGAGGGCAAGGATGACAGGCAAGCCCCTGGGCCTGGGAGACGAGGGCAAGGATGACAGGCAAGCCCTGGGCCTGGGAGGCGAGAGGCAAGGATGACAGGCAAGCCCCTGGGCCTGGGAGACGAGGGCAAGGATGACAGGCAAGCCCCTGGGCCTGGGGAGGCGAGGAAGGGCAGGATGATAGGCAAGCCTGGGCCTGGGGAGGGAGGCACAAGAGGATGACAGGCAAGCCCCTGGGCCTGGGAGACGAGGGCAAGGATGATAGGCAAGCCCCTGGGCCTGGGAGCACAAGCAGCGGCCAGAGTTGCAGAGCTGGGGTGGGCGATGGAGGTAATGATTCGTAAGCAGTGTTGGAACCCAGCCCCTAGTGAGCAAAGTGACAGAAGCTGCCCCAGAGTTTGGGAGGAAGATAGAGGCAAAAGATGTAGAAGGAAGCTGTAGGGGTGGGAGTGATGCCTCAGGAGCAAAACTGAGGAATTCCCTAACGGAGCCAGTCCCTGGGAAAAGAGGCTCCCCTAAGGCTCTTTTTGTCTAGCCCCATACCTGGTGGAGCCCAGTACCCAGCCTCGCCCCACACCTGGTGGAGAGGCCCTGTTGATTACACCCTGTCAGCATCCTCAAACCCAGCACTAATTGCACAATTTTCCTCTCTTCTAGTGAGCAAGAGCCTGAGGAAGTAGCAGAAAGGGATGTGGGCCCATGTGCAGTTCTGGGACCCTGGCACCTTGGCGCAGGGAAGACCTGAGCTCCTTTCACTGCTGACCCTCCAGGGACTGGGGAGAGGGCTCCGGAGAACCTGGTTCTTGCTTACTGTTCTCCCTTTGGGCCCTGCTTCCCAAGTGCAAACAATCCTGGTCCATTCAGCATCAGGCCCAGTGGAAATAGTGAAGCAGTGATTATCCCTTCCCTGCCTCTCCATAGCCTGGTCTTTGCCCTCTTCTTTGCTCTTCTCTTCCCCCATAGCCACCTCAAATACCTGCAGCCTGATATCTTCATTCCCCTTCATCCAGACCTTTTCTCTCCTAGTGGTATTGCAAATTGAAAGTGGACAAAGACGCCAGGCGCGGTGGCTCAAGCCTGTAATCCCAGCACTTTGGGAGGCCGAGGCGGGCGGATCACGAGGTCAGGAGATCGAGACCATCCTGGCTAACCCGGTGAAACCCCGTCTCTACTAAAAAATACAAAAAACTAGCTGGGCGAGGTGGCGGGCGCCTGTAGTCCCAGCTACTCGGGAGGAGAAGGGCGTAAACCCGGGAGGCGGAGCTTGCAGTGAGCCGAGATCGCGCCACTGCACTCCAGCCTTGGCGACAGAGCGAGACTCCTCTCAAAAAAAAAAGAAAGAAAAAAGACAGTGGACAAAGACTTAAGGTAAAACTGCTCCTCGTGGTGGAATGCTTCCAAATGCTGGAAGGAGGACTTTAGGAAAGAGTTCACCAAGGAGGCCTGTGGTTATAGATCAGTGGGCCTGAAAGAAGTTTCTCTAGGTTCTGGTTGTGTGCTGTATGAGGCGTAGGCAGTAATACTACTTTTGTCAGCCATAGTGAAGCCCCAGGCTAGCCAGGATAGGGGACTGACCTTGTACAGGCAGCATGGAGAAACTAAGACAGAGGGTCCTGCCCAAGTGATGGCACTGGGGAGTAGTCACTCAGGTTTATTTCCACCAGGGCCCAAGAAAAGAAATGAAGCAACTTAAAATTCCATCAAGATAGATACCAATATCCAAGATGCTTGGTCTTAGGGGTGTGGGATCCACATCGAGGTTCTTGGTGGGAAGGTGGGAGGTGTTTTCAGCATGAGATAAGGCTCAGGCTGTGAATCACAGTCTAGAATCTAAGATAAAAGAAGATACCAGGGCCGGGTGTGGTGGCTCATGCCTGTAATCCTAGCACTTCGGGAGGCCAAGGCGGGCAGATTTCCTGAGCTCAGGAATTCGAGACTAACCTGGGCAACACGGTGAAACCCCGTCTCTACTAAAATACAAAAAATTAGCTGGGTGTGGCGACATGCACCTGTGGTCCCAGCTACTTGGGAGGCTGAGGCAGGAGAATTGCTTGAACCCGGGAGGCGGAGGTTGCAGTGAGCCGAGATCGCACCACTGCACTCCAACCTGGGTGACAGAGAGACTGCATCTCCAAAAAAAAAAAAAGAAGATACCAGAACTCAGTCCTTAAGAAACAAAATTCTGCCAGGCACAGTAGCTCAGGCCTGTAACCCCAGCACTTTAGAGGGGCCAAGGCAGGTGGATCGCTTGAGGCCAGGAGTTCAAGAACAGCCTGGACAACATGACAAAACTCTGTCTCTACCAAAAATACTAAAAACTAGCCAGTCTCATAACCTGGTCTCAAAATAAATAAATAGATTTAAAAAAAAAAAAAAAAATCTGGGCCTGAACCAAGCTCCAGGCCTCGCTGAGAGGGGAGAAGGACCCCCCAGCCACACAGCCCAAGGCTGCAGAAGCACCTTGGTTAGAGAGTGAGTGCCTGGATGTGGCGCGGTGGCTTATGCCTGTAATCCCAGCACTTTGAGAGGCCGAGGCAGGCGGATCACGAGGTCAAAAGATCAAGACCATCCTGGCCAACATGGTGACACCGTCTCTACTAAAAATACAAAAATAAGCTAGGCATGGTGGTGCGCGCCTGTATTCCCATCTACTCAGGAGGCTGAGGCAGGAGAATCACTTGAACCCGGGAGGCGAAGGTGGCAGTGAGCCGAGATCACGCCACTGCACTCCAGCCTGGCAACAGAGCCAGACCCTGTCTCAAAAAAAAAAAGTGAGTGCCTGATGATGCCAGATTTTTCATCACCTGAAGTGAACCCACACAACAGAGCTGGGCCATGGGCATCAAAAACCCCATTTTGCAGGCTCAGGAGGAGTTTCAGGGAAATCAGAAGACTGGCCCAGTCTCTACCAAGTGGTGGATTTAGACCCGGTATGGCTCTGTTCCAAATCTCACCCTTATCCCACTGTTCCACGGGACCTCCCATTCCTGAGGGAGCCTGGACACGGGCAAGTGCACAGCCCAGGAGGCTGAGGTTAGAGTGAGCCATGATCACACCACTGCAGTCCAGCCTGGGCAGGAGGGCGAGACCCTGTCTCTGAAAAAAATAAAAATACTCATTTTGGAAGGAAGTCATTCTAAAATGTTACACTTGTCTTCAGCGTATCTGCAATATAATGAAAATTTTCTGCATAACTGAGGATCATTCACAGAAAGCAATGGCTTTTCTCCAGCAGTGTCTTCTGAAGTTGTAACAGTAGGGGCACGGGGAGCTATTTGCTTTTATGCTAAACGACCTTAGACCACTTATAAAATGCATATGAATGCTTTAAATGTGTGTGTGTGTGTGTGTGTGTGTGTGGTGTTGCCTCCCTGACTACAAGGGGTCACTTGCTACTCTAAATGTGTTTCTAATCTACTAGTACAGGAACACACATGGACACATTAAAATTGTGAATAAAAGTAATTGAAAAGTAAGTAGGCCATGACTGAGGACTGGAGAATCTACCCAGTGAGTAAAGCACATGAGTATTCTAGCTGCTGAAGGGTCCTTTCTGCTCTCTCAAACCCTGCACTGTTGCCCTATAGCTGACCTCCAAATAAGTGAAGTGTCACTGCACATTGTTCCCAAGATGATGATTTGCCTCTTCCCCGAAAAGTCCACTGATGATTGCAATATAGACTTTTCCCAATAATAGGAGACAGTTGGAATATTTAAGAGAAGGAAAGCAGCACAGTGTAGAAATGAAAAATCCTTGGCACTGGAAAGATGTGGGTGGGATTCTTGGTGTTCCCATTTTCCAGCCACAAGATCGCTTTAGGGACAGGGCACCCACCTACCACTGTGGGCCTTGGGGTGAAGAAGATGAAAGGAGATAATGCAAGAAAGTACTTAGCACAGCATCTGGCAAAAACAGGGCAAGGAAAGGAAATCAAAATGTGTGTCTGGGAGCTTAAGGGTGTCAGGAAAGAGGACGAGAAGGAAAGGGGCAGGAGAAGGAACCTGAAGGGAAACGGAACTGGGCAGAAAAAGAACAGTAAAAGAGATGTGCTATCTGGGCTTCCTACAAACGGGCACACATCACCCATTGTGTATCTGCCTTGCATAGCCCAGAAGAAACATTAACAGTGGATAGGGGAGTTGGGGGGTAGTGGGCACTCCCCCCTCCCCCACCCACTTAAGATTGAGAACTTCGTGTTTGAGATAGCTAGCTTTGTCTCACCCTTTTTTCCTGCTCTGATTGTCGTTGGCTTGGTGGGCCTGGCAGGGAGAGAAGGTGGAGGAGTCTCCACAGTGGTTTGCCCCTACCTGAACTTAGTGGCAAAATAAAGCTGCCCAAATGAAGCAGCTGAATTTCCTTCCTCAGAGCCCGCATCTGACTAGTGGCTAGGAAATGGGTACTTTTGTGGCTCTTAGCCCAGAAGAGGCAGGGTGGAGAAGGAAAAGGTGGCGGGTGGCTGACCCTCAGTCCCCACACCTCTTTTGGCCTGTATCTCTTTGTCTTTCAGACCAGCTTTTAGTCTTTCTGCCTCTTGCCCCTGTGCAACCACTGAGCACGCTCTCTGGGCTACACAGTGTCTGGAAATACAGAGACAAATGATGCATAGTCCTGGCTGCTGGAGAAAGACCTTCACCTCCCCAGGTCCCTGCCTTCTATCACCCTCAGCTCCCTTACCCACTGACACCTCCTGCAACCCTTGTCTGTTCTGCCCCTTGACTGTTCTGTTGTAACTCAACCAAGCTCTGCAGTGTGTGTGTTCCCAGAGGGAAGCGACACAAAGAAAAGGGGGGGGCAGAAAGGAGGGAATCCCGCTGACATCACTGCTCATTAGCATGTGTGACCTCATCAGGGGGCGGGACAATTTCCCCAGGTGTCTAGGGGGGAGGGCATGTGTGTGTGGGGGGGTGGTATTTAAAGGGAAAAGCTGACAGTGCGGCTGAGTGAGGGAGAGGGTGCTGCGAGCTGCTGGGCTGCACACGCACACGCACACCGATGCACACGGACCCGGACACAGACATGGACACGGACACAGAAACCACAGCACTCTGCCCCTCTGGCAGCCGCCGGGCCTCCCCTCCAGGGACGCCCATGCCAGGTGAGGGCTAACCTGGGCAGGTTCCAGCTGAAACCATGGGGGTGGGAGCTGAAGCTTTGATGGGGAGGTCAGAACTAGGGGTTGAGGGAGCTTGAGCCCAGTCAGGAAGAGGGGAAGAGCAATTGAGAAAGTGGAGAAAACCCCTGCTCACACAAGGGATTGGGGTTGGGCTAGGGTGGAGGGGAAGAGCTGCCTAAATGCCCCCTCCCCCATCACTCCCAGGGCTTTGCTTGAGAAACTGGTACATGGCCCCTAGCTCAGCCTCATTCCCGAGGCTGGGATGGGCAAGAAGGAAGGGGAGAGGAAAGGGGCAGCCCACAAGCCTGGGAATCACAGGCAGGGGCTACCCTGGGGAACTGTTGTAAGGGTTCTTCTGGCTCCTGGAGGTCCTGGCTGCTGGCCAAGTATTGATCCTGGGCTATTTCCAGCCTCCCTACAGCCCCCTTTGTTGTGTCTGTTGTTCCTCCTCCAGTTACCCCGACCCGCGCATTGTCACTCTCCCTTTCGTTCACACACACACACACACACACACACACACTCTCTCTCTCTACTTCTGCTCTATGAACACAATATTCTCTCCCACTCACAGGGACAGACAGGGATGCAGGATTCTCACACCCAACCACGCAACGAGGGATGCTCACCTACAGGGCCACGGGAAGCAGCGGCAGCCCCCCTCTCTCTCTCTCTCCCGCACACACACACAGAGAGCCCACGGAGCCCCAGCACACACACCATCTCAAAAAGCAAAGGCCCTTTCCTAGGAAGAGGCTCACTACAAAGTTTTTTACTCTGCTGTACCTACTCCCCAGACACTAGGCAGCAGCTTCAGCTTCTCATCCTCTCTGCTCCTCAGTTTGGGGATTACCAGTGCCGGAAACAGGAGGAGGAAGGGCCTCCTGATGGACAAAGAGGCAGCTTCCCCAAACCCCCTCCCACTCCACCCCACAGGGCCAGAGGCCTAGTCTGGGGATGTGCCTGTATATCAGTGTAAAGTGTGAGTGGGTGTGTGAGTGTGCATTCAGGTCCCTTCCCTGCATGGGGCATGTTTTGAATAGGTTGGGGTTGGGACCACATTGGAGAAGCTATCATGTCAACTCCAGTTCAGGCTTCTGGAGACTTTAGTGTAAGAGGTCAGGCCAGACATTCTCAGTTCCTTCTGGGTAATGGTCAAGTGGATGTAGCTGGGCCTCTGGTACTGGAACAGCCTGGATTGACCCTTCTGCATATGGTTGGGCATATCCCATTCATAGCGTCCTTTTCTTTGCCCTCCCATTTTATTTTAGAAGCAGATACCACACTACTAAAGAAGCCAGAGACACTGTTGGCAGAGTTGGACCGGAGCGGGCTACCCTCTGTCCCTGGGGCCCCCAGACGAAGAGGCAGTATGCCTGTCCCCTACAAGCATCAGCTCCGGCGGGCCCAGGCTGTAGATGAACTTGACTGGCCACCTCAGGCCTCATCATCTGGCTCCTCTGACTCCTTGGGCTCAGGAGAGGCAGCCCCTGCTCAAAAGGATGGCATCTTCAAGGTCATGCTAGTGGGGGAGAGTGGCGTGGGCAAGAGCACCCTAGCAGGCACTTTTGGTGGTCTCCAGGGAGACAGTGCTCATGAACCAGAGAACCCAGGTATTTGAGGAAGCCCTCCAGGGGTTGAGGGGGCTCTGGGGCCCTGGTCAGGGAAGGAAGTGCTCATGACCTGAGCAGCCCCTGAAGGACAAAGCTTAACAGAAGCTTTTCCAGTGCTTTCTGTGGCAGCCTCCCTGAAGAGGGGTGGGGTTCCTTGGTGCTAATATCTGAGGTGTCCCTGGTTACCAGGTCTCACAAATGTTGGAAAATCTCCTAATGGACTTTATTCCCTCTCCCTATTTCCCAACAGAGGATACCTATGAAAGACGCATCATGGTGGATAAGGAGGAAGTGACTCTAGTCGTTTATGATATCTGGGAACAGGTGAGAACTAAGATGTGGCTGCAGGCAGGTAATGAAGCTGGGAGAACTGGGGAAGGGCAAAGTGGCTGAAGGTGGGACTGCTGGTCCTGGTTTCAACATGTACTGGAACCTGACCTTTCATTCATATCACTTCAGAAAGCAAAGGCCCACACCACAGTCCATAGCCATTAAGAGTCACAGTCTTTCCAGGATCTTCTGACTCAGAGCAAACTTAGAATGGGAATTTGACAAACCCTGCAGCTCCAAGCTAGGCTGGACACCCTGAAATTGACTCCATCCATAACTGTTTCAGTCTGAAGGAATCTGATGTGACAGGACAAGAGCTCAGGGATCTGGAATATCAGGGAAGGGGGAAAAAAGTGAGGACTACTGAATATTTGGACATAAAGGTTACTATGTAGAAATAAGAGGCCAAATTACAGACGTGTGAATAACATTCATTTTTGAATCAAGAGCTTAAGCTTAAGAAATTAGGATGGCTACCCTAGTCTAGGATCCTCATAGTACTAACTTCTTCCTCCTCCACAAACACTCTGGGTATGGAGATTCTGCCATTAACTAGCTCTACTATCCTAAGCAGGTGGCTTCTTTCTCCCTCACAGCCCTGTTCCTCCTCTTGGAGGTGTAGGTGCTGGACAGGAGCTCCTATGCCTCCAGCCCTAACGTTCCTCTGCCTGTCTGCAGGGGGATGCAGGAGGGTGGCTGCGGGACCACTGCCTTCAGACTGGGGACGCCTTTCTCATCGTCTTCTCAGTCACTGACCGACGGAGCTTCTCCAAAGTTCCAGAGACCCTACTTCGGCTCCGGGCTGGGAGGCCGCACCACGACCTACCCGTTATCCTTGTTGGAAACAAGAGCGACTTGGCCCGCTCCCGGGAGGTATCACTGGAGGGTGTGTATCCTGAACAGATTCCATCCTTGCGATCTCAGGGGAACGCTGGCCCTTCCAGGTCACCTCTTCTCCCTAAGGCCTTTTTACCATTGCGGACGCTCTCACTTGCAATCAGACCCAGGCTAGGGCACACTCCCAATGCCCCACTCGAGGACCCTGAGAATCCCTTCTTGTCACTTCCCCTCACCTCTCCCCTAGGCCTCCTTCTCCCTCTTCTTCGCACCTCCACCTCCCCACCATATGAGCTCAGCCAAGTTCTCTCGGTTGCAAGAGTCACTAGTACCAATCCCTTGCCACCGCACGCCCAGGCCCTCCCTAGACCCACCCTCGCCCCAGGTCCCCTACGGCCTGGCGGGCGCCTGAGCGGGTCCCTTCCTGCAGAGGGCCGCCACCTGGCCGGGACGCTGAGCTGCAAGCACATCGAGACGTCAGCCGCACTGCACCACAACACGCGGGAGCTCTTCGAGGGCGCGGTGCGCCAGATCCGGCTGCGGCGGGGCCGAAGCCGCGCCGGGGGCCAGAGGCCCGAGCCGGGCAGCCCCGAGGGTCCTGCGCCGCCCGCACGCCGCGAGAGCCTCACCAAGAAGGCCAAGCGGTTCCTCGCCAACCTGGTGCCGCGCAACGCCAAGTTCTTCAAGCAGCGCTCCAGGTCGTGTCACGACCTCTCGGTGCTCTGAGCCGCGGTCGCCATGACCACTGCGGTCGCCATGGTCACCGCGCCCTCCGCTCGCCCCCCCTCGCCCCGCCCCGCCCCGCTCCCGTTCGGCTTCCCTGGTGGAGGCCGTCTAGGAAACCAAAAACTCCCAGGATGCCCCGGTGTGACCGCGGGGGGCGGCCCGGGGCCGCTGGGCGGTACCTCCACACCCGCCCCCACGGGTTCTCCGGACTTTCAGGCCTCAGGGCGCCTAGAAGGCAAGGACGCAGACCCGAAGGCGGCCGGTGAGCGGGGCGGGTTCTGCTGGGTCGGGAAGAAAAATAATTCTGCAAGGTAGTTTGTTTTTTATTAATTCGCGCTTGGCCACCTCATCTGTAAAGAGATTCTAAAAGCGAGATCTGGAAAAGTGCTTTGTAGACTCCTTGACGGAGTTCGCCTCCTTTGTACGCTGCGTGAACATGCCTCACCTTTAAGAGAGTCTTAAAGGTAAAGACACGGAGATCCTTCCTCCAGGGACCTTCCTGAAAACGTTCTGGCTCTCATCTGCTGCCGCATGTGTCCACTTTGCCTTTAAGGAGTTCTTAAAGGCAAGGGCCTGGAAGCCCTTGATTCACTTGACTTACTAGTCCACCACGGCACTTCCCCTTTAAGATTATTAAAGGTAAGGGGTGGACAGACTTTCTACATTCAGAAGCTGAGCAGTGGCAACCCCTTTGGGCCAGGGCCCAGGGGGCACCAGCAAGAGGCCACCCTTTCCCTTTTCAATAAAGAATTTTTGTACTGCATCTGTTCACGTTTGACTCTGTTCTTGGAGTCTGTGGGGGAGGAAATGGGTGTTGATGGAAACTGCTATTACCCACCAGAAAACTCAGGCCTAGAGGAGCAAGGAACCTAACTCTCTAAGGAGGCTCTGGAACTGACTTGACCTGGGATAGTCCGTGCCAAAGGGTCACAGGCCCTTACAGATAATCGGGCCCACTTCCTTTGCCGATGAGAAACAGGCCTGGAGAGGAACAAGGACCTCCTAGAAGTCATTTGTAAATTAGTGACACAGTGGGACCAAATCTCTAGACTCTGAGCCTCATCTCCTTACCCCACTCTATCCTGCAGGGAACAGGCTAGAGGCTACATTTAGCTCCCAGAGGTACTCAGCTTTGACTTGGGCTGGTTCGAAGTGGGGCCCATATCCCGTGCGTGATGGGGTCTCTCTGTGCCTCCTCTGGCAGGGCTCCACAGCACCAGCTGTCACCTGCAAAGCCCGTGTGAGTACTGAAACTGTCACTGCCTCCCCTGGGGACGCCCACGCCTGCTGCTGCCTGAGCCATGAGTTTGAACAAAGGGAGCAGAGGCAGCAGCTCCCCTCACCACCCCTAGACATACAATACAGCTACCTGAGCACCTGAGGGCCAGCCTCCATTCCACCCCACACAGCCTCCCAGAACTTGATAGAAAGAGGGTTGCAATGCTTCCTGAGTCCTTGCACCTGGGGAGGAGCCAAGGGGACCAGCCCAGCATGGGTGGTTATAATAAGATGAATAATGGCACTATCCTTAGGACTTTATACACTTTATATGTTAATTCCTTAAAGACTATATAAGGTCCAGCCTGGGAAACATAGTGAGAGCCAGTTTCTACAAAAAATATAAAAAATATACAGGCATGGTGGCTCACACCTGTAATCCCAGCACTTTGGTAGGTTGAGGCAGGAGGATCATTCAAGTTCAGGAGTTTGAAACCAACCTGGGCAACATGGCGAAACTCTGTCTTTACAAAAAATTAGCTGGGCGTGGTGTCATTTGGATAGTCCTAGCTACTCGGGAGGCTGAGCTGGGAGGATTGCTTGAGCCAGGAGATTAAGGCAGTAGTGAGCTGTGATTGTACCACTGCATGGCAGCGTGGGCAACAGAGCAAGACCCTGTCTCAAAAAAAAATTTAACAAAATTAAAAAAATCAGTGCACCTGTAGTCCTAACTAGTTGGGAAGTGGGAGGATTACTTGAGCCTAGGAGTTCAAGCCTGACGTGAGCTGTAAGCACTGCATTCCAGCCTGGGTGATAGAGCCAGAACTTGTGACGTGAGCTGTAAGCACTGCATTCCAGCCTGGGTGATAGAGCCAGGCACATGACGTGGGCTGTGGCACTGCATTCCAGCCTGGGTGATAGAGCCAGAACTTGTCTCTTTAAACAAACAAACAAACAAACAAAAGATAATCCCAGGTGCGGTGGCTCAACCTATAATCCCAGCACTTTGGGAGGCTGAGGCGGAGAATCGCCTGAGGTCAGGAATTCAGACCCAGCCCACCCAACCTGGCGAAACCCCGTCCTACTAAAAATACAAAAAAATTGGCTGGCGTGATGGTGTGTGCCTGTAATCCCAGCCACTCGGGAGGCTGAGGCAGGAGAATTGCTTGAACCCAGGAGGTGGAGGTTGCAGTGAGCCAACATCGTGCCATTGCACTCCAACCTGAGCAACAGAGCGAGACTCTATCTCAAACAAACAAAACAAAACAAAAAAACTATATAAGTGTTAAGCTGTAAGCACTGCATTCCAGCCTGGGTGATAGAGCCAGAACTTGTCTCTTTAAACAAACAAACAAACAAACAAAAAGATAATCCCAGGTGCGGTGGCTCACGCCTATAATCCCAGCACTTTGGGAGGCTGAGGCGGGAGAATCGCCTGAGGTCAGGAATTCAAGACCAGCCCACCCAACCTGGCGAAACCCCGTCCCTACTAAAAATACAAAAAAATTAGCTGGGCGTGATGGTGTGTGCCTGTAATCCCAGCCACTCGGGAGGCTGAGGCAGGAGAATTGCTTGAACCCAGGAGGTGGAGGTTGCAGTGAGCCAACATCGTGCCATTGCACTCCAACCTGAGCAACAGAGCGAGACTCTATCTCAAACAAACAAAACAAAACAAAAAAACTATATAAGGTGTTACTACCTGTTTAACAGTAGAAGAAACGGAGTGTAAGTAACTTGCCTGAGGTTACCCAGTAAGCAGCAGAGTTAGGATTCTATGTCTGCTTGATACTTTTTTGTGTGTGTGTGTGATGGAGTCTTGCTCTTATCGCCCAGGCTGGAGTGCAATGGCGCGATCTCCACTCACTGCAACCTCCACCTCCCAGGTTCAAGTGATTCTTCTGCCTCAGTCTTCTGAGTAGCTGGGATTACAGGCACCTGCCACCACACTTGGCTAATTTTTTGTATTTTTAGTAGAGATGGAGTTTCACCGTGTTAACAAGGCTGGTCTTGAACTGCTGACTTCAGGTGATCCACCAGCCTCAGCCTTCCAAAGTGCTGGGATTATAGGTGTGAGCCACCGCACCCGGCTCTGCTTGATACTTAATGGTGATTTTATCCAGTTTTGCATCTGAGGCTCCCTTTCCAATAAGGATGGGAGGAAGAGAAAGAGGGGACAGCAGTCAAGATGCAGGGACACAATGGGCAGGGCCATGTGCAGTGGCTGTGGTGAAAGGTCCAGAGAAATTACATGCCTGTAGTGGCGTAAGCAAGTTCTAAATTCTGAGGACCATGAACAGAGGCAGCTCAAATTTTAAAATGCAGGAAAACACACTGGGCCCATTAAGGGACCAGATGGCTGTACAGTTGGGTTGAAACCTCAGGGACATGAAGAGGAGGGGTAAGAGATGAGCATGGAAAAGAAGGTTTGGAGTCCCACTGTAAAGGATCTTAAATGCCAGGAAAAAGAGTTTGTGCCCAACTCTGTAGGCAGGGAGAGTCACTGCAGGTCTCTGAATGTGGAAGTCATGATTAGGATGGTCCTTTGGGAAGAGGAGGCTGGGAGAGGTGTGTATGGATTGGAGCTGCAGAGGAAGTCCTGAGGAGCTGAGTTTAGGGACCAGTAAGAGTGATACATATGGAGGATAATGAAAGGCCATCCTGAGGAGGGTGGCAGTGGGAAAGGAAGGAGGCATGGATTTGAGGGTCAGAATTAATGGGACTTGGCAACTTAGTGGATGGTATAAAGAGAGGAAAAAGTTGTAGGTGGTGAGAGGATGGTGAGGAACTTGGAGTTAGGGGGCAAAGGAGGTAATGAGAGTAAGGAGCTCCATTTTGGAGAAACTGAATTTGAGATGCTAGAAGAACATCTGTATGGGGTTTCAGCAGCTCTCTGGAGCTGAATCCGAAATTCAGAACAAGTTGGGACAAGAGAAACAGATTTGAGAATAATTACCATAAAGATAGTAGTAGAAGAGCAAGGGGAAAAGGTGACCTGTGCAGTCACACAGGGCCCTAAGCTTAGTTTAATGTTCTGCTGTTGTGTTCTTAAAATTCATCGAACAAGGAGCCCTGATTTTCATTTTGCAAGGGGATCCATAATTATACTAAGGGAGAAGGTACAGTACAGGCTGAGATCCTTACCCCAGACTACTGATGGAGTGTGCGTCTTGTGAAATGGCACATACAATCTGATGTATTTGTGTAGTCATGCATGTGTCTGAGAATAGGGTTCATGAATTTCATCAGATTCACAAAAGGGTTTGTGACAGGCCAGGCTCAGGGTGGCTCATGCCTGTAATCCCAGCACTTTGAGAGGCCAAGGCGGGTAGATCACCTGAGGTCAGGAGTTCGAGACCAGCCTGGCCAACATGACAAAATCTCGTCTCTACTAAAAATACAAAAATTAGCTGGGCATGGTGGCACATGCCTGTAATCCCAGCTACTCGAGAGGCTGAGGCAGGAGAATTGTTTGAATACAGGAGGTGGAGGTTACAGTGAGCCGAGATCCTGCCACTGTACTCCAGCCTGGGCAACAGAGTGAGATTCTGTCTTTAAAAAAAAAAAAAAAAAAAAAAAAAAAAAAAAGGTGGTACTGGCTGCCTCTGGGAAGGGGACTGGGTGAGTAGAAGACCGGGATGGGATGGGGAGCTGACTCTTCATTGTATGCCCTTTTTCTTTTCTTTCTTTTTTTTTTTTTTTTTGAGACAGAGTTTCACTCTTGTTGCCCAGGCTGGAGTGCAATGGCGCAATCTCACCGCAACCTCCGCCTCCTGGGTTCCAGCGATTCTCCTGTCTCAGCCTCCCGAGTAGCTGGGATTACAGGCGTGTGCCACCATGCCTGGCTAATTTTGTATTTTTGGTAGAGATGGGGTTTCTCCATGTTGGTCAGGCTAGTCTCAAACTCCTGACCTCAGGTGATTCACCTGCTTCAGCCTCTCAAAGTGCTGAGATTACAGGCCTGAGCCACCGTGCCCAGTCTGTATGCCCTTTTTCTACCTTTGGAACCTTTCTTTTTTTTTTGAGACAGAGTCTTGCTCTGTCGCCAAGGCTGGAGTGCAGTGGCACAATCTCAGCTCACTGCAACCTCCACCTCCTGGGTTCAAGCGATTCTCCTGCCTAAGTCTTCCGAGTAGCTGGGATTACAGGTGCCCGTCACCATGCCCAGCTAATTTTTGTGTTTAGTAGAGACGGGGTTTCACTATCTTGGCCAGGCTGGTCTTGAACTCCTGAGCTCATGATCCACCCACCTCGGCCTCCCAAAGTGCTGGGATTACAGGTGTGAGCCACTGCGCCTGGCCTACCTTTGGAACTTTTAACTATGTCTTTAGTACCTCTTCAAAAATGAAACAAAATAGGCCGGGCATGGTGGTTCACACCTGTAATCCCAGCACTTTGGGAGGCCAAGGGGGGTGGATCATGAGCTCAGGAGTTCAAGACCAGCCTGGCCAAGATAGTGAAACCCCGTCTCTACCAAAAACTACAAAAATTAGTCAGGTGCAGGGGTAGGCACCTGTAATCCCAGATACTTGGGAGGCTGAGGCAGGA